TGCTTAAACAGTTTCTTTTTTCTCATGTAAACTGATTTTCTCATTTCAGTCTAATTTAATTTTCAGACACTTTCATTATTTTTAATTCAGATGTATTTCATACCCTTCTGTTACCTTTTGGGCAATAAAAATTGTAACAACAGAGGTTTTCTGTGGAAACAGCTTTCATTTGTCACCTGGCTATGAATATCTCCTTTCTGTTATTCTGGTATACCTATATGATGCATTGACTTTTACAAAGTATTTCACATGAAGAGAGTGAGACGAATCTAACATTACATAGGTATTGGTAAATTGTTATTCTGAAAACTGTATGACAAGTATAACATTATTTTCAGGTAAAGCAGGATAAGTTCTGAGTAAATTAGTGTGTTTCTGTGGGCTTATGGAAAAGAAACCTGCTCATTGCATTTGAAAATGAAAAATGATGCTAAGAGGCAATTCACCATGTTTCACGCATTTCTCACAAATCAACTTAACTTTTAACTAGTTACAGTAAACTTTCTGGTAGCTGGCACCTTACAAGCCAGCATGCTTTGTTAACTGGCATGCCAGCTTGTAAGGAAGAGTGAAACCAGAAGTGCCCACCGTGGCCCTTCTGGTTTCTCTGAGCCCCACGGCCCGGGGCAAAGCAGCCTGTGCTGCTGATCCCCCACGGCCCGGGGGCATAACAGGCTGCGCGGGGCTGTGCGGGGCCCGCCTCCCTGTCCTGTGGGGCCCGCAGGAGGAGCAGTGATGTGGCGGGAAGGGTGGCGATGCTGTGGGGGGGCGGAGGGACGTCCCAGATGCAGTGGGAGAAACAGCAGCCGGGGCCACTCAATTAACCAACGTATTTTGTTATCCGGCATTCCCCATTCCCGGGGATGCCGGATAACAAAGCTTTTACTGTACTTTCTTTTTAACTTACCTTTTAACTAGTTGAAAGTGGACATATTTAACTTTTAACTTAACTCAAGTTAATTTTAAAGGCTGCTAACTTTTAACTTTAACTAGTTATATTTTTCATAAACTTTTCCCATGACTGCTTTTCTATGTCTATCCCTCAGACTTCCTGCATACAGCATCTAAACAATACATAAATGCTGACAATGTCTCCATAGTAGCCCAAGGAATAGACGTGACAATACTGGTAAAGATACTGAGTACTGACATGGAACTCATTGCTGACTGTCTCCACAAGAGGTAACTTAAAGTTGAGCATCAATAATTCAGTATCTTCACTTTTCTACCTGGAGAATCATCGACCCAGAAACATGCTGAATATCAGAGTAAGCAACCACATCCTTCCCCATGAGCTTGCTCCAACCTAACTACAAGTCACATTAGACTGTTCCCTTACCTATAAACATCACATTCAGAAAGTCAGCGGTAAAGTCTCTGCACAGGTAGCTGCCTTAAGATATTTAGCCAGCACGACATGAGGTGCCAACTTCAAAGTACTTAGAACCACTGCACTTGCCATAATTATACATGCCAGCAGAATATTGTGCTCTTGTATGGTCCAAAAGTTGTTACACTAAAAAGTTTGACACTGTACTTAACAGTGCACTGAGACACACAACAGGCTGCACAACTTACACACAGATGTGCTCTCTGTACTGGTGGGCACTAGACCAAGTGATATAAGAAGACAGACCCTAACATCAGTTCTGGCAATAGAGGCAAGATATGATGAAAATCACCTGCTCCTGTCAACTGTTAACTGAGTACTCAAACAAATGGAAGTTTAAAAGGCTTAAAAGTCATAAATCATTTGTACATGAAGCCCACAAACTCCTGGAAGAGATTAGGGATGTTGAATCAAACAAATGGGTAGCAATGGAGTGGGCTGACCACTGGGAAAGGTCAGACCTATTCCTACAGTATTTTATACCAACACCAAATGAGTCCCCCACTGGGCACGACCTTGACAGAGAAGCATGGATCAAGCTAAATAGAGTGAGATCTGGATACAGATGTTGCAAAACAACACTTCACAAGATGAACATCTTGGACAACCCCCCGTGTGAATGTGGTGTCCAACAAACAGCACAGAACTTAACCAAAAGCTGCAATCTTTATAAATGCCCAGACAGCATGGATGGAACCAACATATTAAACAATTATACCAGACAGTGGCCCATAGATTTTGAAGTTGATATCTGACACCATACAAAAGAAAGAGGAATAATAGTGTAAACTTGTTGAGTTGCGTTAGTCCCAAATATGCACTTACAGGACTAATATTGACCCTGAAGTTTGGCCCCAAAGTTAAACACATGCCAAATTTATTGGTTGTACAGGGACCAAGGTGCTGAAAATAAAGGGTGTAAACACCAAGGAACAGAAGGACATTTTGGGTGGGTGTGGGTTTGACAAGGAATACTGGGAAGAAGTTAAGAAGGGAAAAGTTAAGGAATAGCTTCCACCTAGAGAGATCTATTTGGTAGTTGAAAATTTTCCCCTCAGAAATAATGGAAGCCCACATGTTTTACACATTTGAAAATAAAGTGGACATAACTTCAGAAAATGTACAATAAAGAAAAAGTGGCCAGTGGAAGAGTGATGGATTAGGTGGTCTACTAGGTCTTTTTCATGTCTGATTCTTGTACCTTTCCATTGCTCATAACCAGGATGCGGTCACACTCCAGAACAGTGTTGATGCGATGTGCAATGGTTAAGACTGTACAGTCCTTGAATGCATCTCTGATTGTGCACTGAATTAGTCTATCTGTTTCAGGATCAATTGAAGCTGTGGCTTCATCAAGCAGTATGATCTATTAGGGAAAAAAAGCTTTTAATCATGTGGTAGTAATCATTATAAAATATCTTGAAGTCTTATAAAGCTTTCAAACTAAAATAACCAGGAACATATATTAAAACATGGAGTTTATTCAGATACACATTAATTTTAAAACGTTTATTTCAAACCACAAAAATTAAAATTGGATTATTAAATTCACATCAATGAGATTTATTTGAAAATATGTAGGATGGGGAGATTTTGGGTTTGACCCCAATCTATAATTAGTTAGGTATGTGCTAAATGTATGTGACTATTCATATTACACTTATTTATGGAAGGAACATTAAATATGTGTAAGTTTGTACAGGATCAGAGCTTAAAATTCTCCCTGGCCCTCAAATTCTCAGACATGAATTTAACAATCTTATTTTTACTTCTTGGTGTTATTAACTTACAAGCATTGTAAAGATTCTTCTTATACAAACTTCAGTGGGGTGTCCTGCCAGCTGAGAGCTGAATTTTACCATATTTATTTTCAAAATTGCAAATGTGGATTTGGAGTACTGATTCTTACTCTTGTTAGGCTCAAGTCACCCCTCAGAAACTGCCGGCTCTTAGCTTTCACTCACCTCTTGACTGTTGCAAAGAACTCAGAAAGACTGCAACAGTTCAGAATATTTTTGACACTATAGATTTCCTTTTGAAATGTTTGGATTTATTTTGTGAATTGTGTAGTTTCTTGTACTTATAACAGTGCCAATATTGCACAGTACCCCACATACCTTTGAAAGAACTTCATAGCATCCCAAGGTACCACAGCACCCTGCTTGAGAATCCTTATTGTAGAGAAGACAGAAGTCCCTTTAAAAATGTGACCCACTACAAAGGGGTAATTTTGAGACCATTATGATTTAGCAGCATGATATGAGACTGTTTGCCAAAGGTGAAAAAGTACATTTAATTTTTTTTTTAATATAGTAGTACAGGGAGGCAATGGATTATTGCAACTTTGTCTTCCTGACTCTTCTGAGTGGTTGTGAAAGAATTAAAAACATATTTAAGCTAACAATGCATGTTTTGCAACATTAAAAGTGGGACCAGATATTTGCATGGATCAGTGGCCAGCTACAAAGTGTCCATGTGTTAGTATTAAAATGAAAAAAGCTGAGGCCTTGATACTTATAGGGTGCATCTACATGTCACCCTATGTCACCCCAGTGATGTGCTACATCACCTTACAACATGCTACAGTAACGTAATGATCATGTGAGTCGACAAATGACCAGCTGCTACTTTGCCATAGGAGCCCGCGCCTCAATTTTAGCATGCTGCTACAGCGAAGTAGCAGCTAAAACTAACCATGTGCTGCATGCATGGCACAGTATGGGTGGTTGCTGCACCGTTTTTTAGTACTTCCAAAAGAGAGTACTAAAGCATGGTGCAGTGACAATGTCACCATAGGGCGACCTGTAGATATGCCCATACAGTGGTAGGACTTTTGGGCCTAATATACTCTAAGGGAAATTAGGCTCAAACATAGATATTAAAGCCAGACCAAGGTATTTGCGATTTGAGAAGCATCTGTAAGGACTTGTTTGCTGCTGCAATTATAGACTTGCAGAGTGTCAATACTGGAGGAGTACTGTGATGGCCTGGCTATGGGTTTATTTTAGTAACTGCACAGCACTGGGAAATCTAGGATCACATTACAGCTTAGTTCCTCTCAGAAACAAGTTCTCATGGACTTCATTTCAAGGAAGTTTAGACATGCATAGGTTAATATAAAAAGTTGATTGTGGGGAATTTGCTACTTGAAAGGGAAAATCCCTGCAGGCCAGGGTCTGCATTTCAAGTTTAAAATTTTCATTTTCATTTGAAAAAGTATATCTGAACAGCAGATGCTGCTCAAATATGTTGGTTTTTTTCAAAAAAAGACATTGGGATCAACCCTCAGCTGGAATATAGCTTCACTGAAGTCTAGAGTGTTAACTGAGGTCCCTGACATACTTTGCATTTATATCATGATGAAGGTGTTAATCATGCCATAAATTATAATGTCACATTTTCAACCAATTTATGTTGTGATAAAATGACAAAGCAGACACAAAGATGTTCAGTAGAACATGGAGATGGAACGTCTTTGCAGTTGGTTTGTAGGGCACCTTAAATTGAACATGTGGCATGTATCTTAGATCTGGGACTGTCCCAGGCTGATGTGGACAACAGGATGGTTGTCAGCATCAGAACCAGGACAGTCCTGGGTCCCAGGGCTGCCCCCATCTTGATCCCCAGGGATTGCATTATGTTACGTTACACTCCAGATCAGGCTGGGGGCAGCCCCAGATCTTGAGCCACATCTGGAATTGTCCCATTGCCAACAATCAGCTGATTGTGTTGGCATCAGGCCCAGGACAACCCTGAGTCTTAAACCAGGCCAGGCCTGTCCTGGCCTAGTTCAAGACTCAGGGCTGTCCTGGGCAATACCAGCAATCAGCCACTGGGCAATGCAGAAACAGCCACTGCTCCCTGATCCCTGGGACCAGGCTGGGGGCAGCTCTGGGACCTGTTTTAGTCTTGGCAGTCATGCAATTGGGATCTGAGGAATTTTATGCCCCATTGTAAAAACTGCACATCAGATTACTGGGATGGGGCATACAATTCCTCAGAACCTAATCATGCCTGAGTTATACCTGGGGTGATCTGTCCCTATCTTTTGATGCACTTTCAAGCGCCACAGCTCCCAGTCTTTAATCTGTGTTAGTTTCTTTTTCAGTTCCCATTCCCCCCCTCTTTTCTTTAGATGACACATCCTGCCACAGCTCTCATGTATTCAAGACTATTGCTAGAAGTATTCAAATCTCTCCAGCTACTTACTTTTGAATTTCGAAGTAGTGCTCTTGCCATACAAAGCAGCTGTCGTTCTCCTATGGAGAAATTTTCTCCATTTTCAGCAACTTCTGCCTGTAATTTTCCTGGGAGTTTCAATATCTAGAGTGCATAAAAAAGCCACTCTGACATTAGCCACTAAGAAAGTATGTGCTGCTTGCTCACTGTCACACATTTTATCAGGATGTCATTTTGAATGACCATTCCAGAGGAGTACATTTCAAACTTTCTGCCACTATAAAATGGAAAGAGGGAACCAGGAAGTAGGTATTCACTATTCAGAAGTCTCATTAGAGTATGTATTTTCATATTATTAGTGCATAATGAATGATACAATAGCAAAAAAATAAATGCATGGTGACTTTTCATTTATTATATCTTTATCAAAAAAAAAATTATGAGACAAAACCACAAAACCTACTCTGTCCTTCATAAATGTTTTTTCAAGAGCTTGCCAGATCTGATCATCTGTGTAAGTACTGAAAGGATCAATGTTGAACCTAAGAGGAAAAATTAAGATAGTCTTTATTTTGCAAATTATTATCATTTCAATTTGAATAGAAAAATGTTGGTTGAATAGGAACTGAGCTTACCTTGAAGCATTTTATTTTAATATTTCAGGTTATATATTTTGAGTTCTTAGGTAGCTTTAGGGGGGAAACCTCAGTTCTATTTCAAAATAGTGATACTCTTTGTTACTTTATTATTATAAAGAACTGGTTGATATTTTTATAAAAATATAATAGCTGCTTTAACTGATATTGCAAATCTGATCTGAGTTCTCCATGCTTTACACAAGTGATTAAACCCATTCTAATTACTGTCTTTCTTCCTCCTCATTTTCTGTAGGAGAGATTGAAGTGAGGTTTTTACAGCTATTATAAAACAAGTTGGTGAGCAAGTTGGGCAAACAGTCCAAGAATAAGGAGCAGCATGAAGAATGATATTGTGGTTCTTGTGAGAGAAGATGAAGGTTTAATATAAAGTTGGAAAGATATATGGGCAAGCACTGTTTTATAGGGCTATGTAGGCAAGTACAGGAAGGTGAGCTCAATGGGCAGCACAACATGAAGCCAGTGGATTGACTCAAAGAAGATGGTATAGTTGCAATGAAATAGCAGAGATTATTTTTGGAAGCAACATTTTATGTGAGTTATTAGGGGGAAAGCATCAACTGTCATGAGAAACGTATGAGGAGAGGAAATGAAAAAGATAAATGAACTCAATTTTAGTCACATTAAGCTTGAGGTCATATGCTGGCTGGAATGGGATTTAGTCAGGACTTCTAGGTACTGCTCAAATAATATAAATCATTACTATAATATTATATTAGCAGTCTTACCAAAAATGGTACTGATAAATGAGATTTTACTTTGAATTAAATGTTTAATTTAGAATTATGTCACCAAATACCTTACTGTACCTACAAACAGAACAGGATCTTGGGGAATAACAGAAAGCTTTGTTCTTAGATCTTCCAGACTAATTGTACAGATATCAACATTGTCAATTAGGATGGTACCAGCAGTTGGTTCTGCTAGGCGAAACAGTGCCACTCCTAGAGATGATTTTCCTGTAGGGGATTAAAAAATGGTGTAGATATACCTTGTGGTTTTTTAAAATAATTATTTACAGTGCATTTTGCTTGAACTGCAAGGCTCTAGGTTTACACACCTGTGATCTGAACTCCTTTCTTTTATTCAGATTCAGAGATCTGGTTTAGCATAGCATAGCCACAGTACAAGTTTCTAAAATTTAGTTGTCTCTTCCTCTGCCAATGTGCCACATCTCTCACTGGAAGTGATTGTTTTCTAGGGTGACAAATTATGTCATTATTCATGCTCATTCACTCTTGGGCTTTCTATTGAGAGTGTTAACGAGTATGTCAATAATGTTAATTATAGTAATGGCTATGTAATGAGGATGTCCATTGGAAATTTTGCTGAAAGCCATGAGAAGCTTTTCATTTTTAATATGCACTGTTAATCAAATAACAGAACAGTGTAAAAATTACCATTATACAGGTAATAGTTTTGTTATAAGAATAATTCAGCATGAAAAACCTCACTTACAGTAGGCTTCATGAGCCATGTGCTGGGTCATGCTTTCAGTAAGAAATTTGGAAGTATTTATAGACATTCCCAAGATTTCCATTTGCTTATTAGCTATAGGCAAAAAAAGGCTGATTGAATCTATTGTGGTGGACTCTGTTGCAATTGTCCCCATGCAGGTTAGTTACCATAATGGTTTTCAGTTTTCTAAAATGGCATTGACTGCCCAGATCTCTGTGTTTTCAAGGAGGAAGTTCTGGATTAGCCTGCCTTATAGATAAAAAAAATAGACTTTATAGTATAGTTTAGTATTTATAGATATAGTATTGTCTAGTCTTATCAATCCAGTATTGAAATTCCTATGGCTATTAATAGCTGAACAGAGCCCTTCTGATGTTTCCAAAACTTTGGGGAATATACTTACACCCAGAGTTTCTTCTTGGGCTGCTGTTACTACGATGAATATCTGGCCCTAATATAAGGATGTATCTTAATGGTACAGCTGAGGTCTTAGAATGTAAAATCACAATTACAATTAAATTTCCTCTAAAAATAACAAACTCATAACATTTATTATATGTACTACCATAAAAGCAAAAAAAAATAAGGAAAAATATGTATCTCACCAGAGCCAGTTCTGCCAACAATACCAATTGTTTCTTGACCATGAATTCTCATATTTAAACCATGGAGAACTATAGGACTGTTTTCTCTGTATTTCATTTGGTAATCTCTAAATACAATTTCCCCTTGATTTGGCCAGCCTTTGGGAGACTTCAAAATATTTGAACGCTGTGGAGCCTCAGGAACACATGTCTCAGAGAAATAAAAGTAGAACAATATTCAGTTGATCCATAGTAGTGAACAGTTAAATATTTCCATAATATTTATAAACGGTATGGCCTTAATGTTACATGTAGATATATTTCTTACCAAGACATATTCCATTATTTGTTCAACAGAGGTAAATGTGGTTTCTGTCTCAATTCCTGATCTTACACATACTTGGAGAAGTCCACTCAACTATAATAATCATAAAAATTTATTGCAATAGAATTACCTGCATATACAGGGAGTTAAGCATTTATGTAAGTTTCTGCAGGATAAAGGACAAAAAAATCATAGAAACTTGTTTATACTTATTACATCACCTTACTGAACTCTTCTGAATGTTATTAAGAGATTTATATGAAATTTTCTGTCTGATGTAAGTCGTGGCTTTGATGGTGATAATTTATAGGGAGATTTTCAAAGGGACAAAGGGGAGTTAGCCAGCTTTTGATGTGGGTGCCTAATTTGTTCTTTATTCCTGTAAAAATTAATTTCTTAGAGCCTGATCTTCTCATCGGTGTCTCATCCATTTTATTTGTTCAGCCAATAATCCCCATCAGGCTCTTGCTGTGATTCCTTCATTCTACAGCCTCTCCCAAGTAAGGCTATAAATACCTTTGAGCCCACAGCTATGTCCACCCTTTCTTTCTTTTTTAAAGGTGTAGAATCTTCAGAAAAAGATGCATTTGATGATTTTTACCCTGTAATAGGCCTGGATGTCTAAATCCTTATGTGGGAGTTTGAAAAAGTACTTGTAAATCACATGACAAGTCACAGAATATCCTATTTAACCCAATGCATATTGGGAATCTGCTTTCTATTCATTTTTATCTACAATAAATATCTGGTGAGGAAAGAAAAGTGAATAATCAAAGTAAAAGGGTGCTTAAGAGAATGAAGCAGTGCAAAAGCCCATCAACAACACAGCTCAATGATAGACCCTCAGGCAATTTCAAAGCTATTACAACTGCCTGTGGAGACTGCCAAGCTGCCGTAGATGGAAAAATATCTTTCACAGTTTGACATGAAATCCTGTGTTTTTTCTGGCCTCTCTTCTTGCTGTTAGGAGATATTCTGTAGTCAATGAAATGTGTTAAATAATATATTTACCATGAAATTTTAACTACATAACAGTTAAGAGCAAATATTGTATTTTAAGCAAATGCTACATTTTTTCATATGAATTTTTAATGTATTTAAAGTATATATTTTGGCAACATTATTAACCCAGTAGCAGTGCTCTTTGGGTATGTTTATTCATTATACACAAACTTTAAACAGATGTGTGAGTTCTAAATGTCATGAAAAGAAGTAGTGGGCTAGGGACAGAAGTAAAAGTAAAGATGCAGATATTGCTTCTAATAGGTCCATTAGAACTGGAAATTAGGGGTGTGCGAAGCGGGCCGTATTCAATTTGAATTCAAATTCGGCCCGATTCAGGGGACAGTGATTCAATTCACTGATTTGGATCACTGTCCCAATTCAATTCAGCCAAATCTGAATCTGAAGATTCGATGCTGATTTGGAGAATCAGTGAATCGGCCATAGACACAGCTTTAAATGTTTTTTCTACATACCTTGAGATACCAGGCAGCTCATGAATGCTGAGAAGGTGGGGCAGATGGAGTGTCCCACAGGAGTATGGGGGGTTCCCCCACATGCTCAGCAGCAGACCTTGTGGTCCACTTCCAGGTCTGGTGCTGAGTGCACAGGGTACCTCCCCCTGTACCTCACCTGGCTCAGCGACTGGCTGGGGGGGACCCCAGGTGCCTTCCCAGACCCAGGAGGCACCAGCCACAAAACTGGGGTGTGGGGGGGGGGTACTCCATACACTCCCTGGTGGACCCAGAAGTGGACCAGAAGTACTTTTGGTCCACTTCCAGGTCTGCTGCCGAGCATGCTGGGGACCCCCCTGTGCTCCCATGGGATGTTCCATCCACCCCACCATCTCAGTCTTCACGAGCTGCCTGGTGCATTGAGGTATGTAGAAAAAACATTTAAAGCTGTGTCTATGTCCTAATCATCAAATCTCTCCAAATCTCTCCAAATCAATTTGGAGAGATTAAAGGGTCTCCTGATTTGATTTGGATTCAGAGATTCAGCCACTGAATTGGGCTGAATTTCTGCTGAACTGAATCAGCGACTGAAGCTTTGCACAGCCCTACTGGAAATGCCTCTATTACTGTATTGTGAACATAAACATTATAAAAGGAATAACAATATTACCCCAGCTATGTAGAAACAGGGATGGCTTGTGTGACTTTTAAGAAGAAAATAGTATTAATTTTCATTTATGATTGCAAAGCAAATCACATTTATTTTTGTGCTTTTCAAAAAAAAGAGGCTTTATTTTTTGTTGTAAATTCTGTATAGAGCTAAGGGATATTTAGCGTACTGTAAACATGAGTGCTTTGAAATTACTATTTAGTTATACATATTGTGGTAGCATAAAAAGGTAACAGTATGTACTGTGACATGGTGCATATGTGCGCACCGAGTTGCATGAAAGTAGGTTTAACAAAATATAGGAGGTAGGATGGGGTGAAATAAGGACAAGGTAACATGGTTATCTAGATTAGCAATGCAGCTTGCATCTCAGGTCTTTCCAAAATGTGTTTTCTCTGTATTCTCCTAGTGTAGGATTCTTACACTCTCTCACATTGGGTAGTAGCACCTTGCTTCAAAATCCAGTGAAGTATTTGCAAAATAAAGTACCGCCCATTATAAGTATTGGTAATATAATCTGATTCTAAATTAAGTCATTGTAATATTTAAATGGCATTTGGGGGTATAAAGAGTGGCTAGAAAAGGAAAACTATATGCACTAATATAGTTAACAACATAGATTAAATCTGGATATCAAGCATTCCATTTTACCTGGATTATATAGGACAAAGCCAAGCCTTTTGCTGCAGTACTAATTGAAGAAGGGCTCAAAGCAACAAATAATGCTACAATCAAAGTTATAACAGCTGCAAGGATATCTGTTCTAAGTGCAAACCATCGTAGTGCACAGTTAAATAGGAGAAAATGGTTGGAGTTTTCATCATTTAGCATTTTAAATCTGAAATTAAAATAAAGATGAACATTGTGAGTCTAAAATAGTTTTAATATGTGAACATGAGATCTGTATCCCCCCTGTAGAGAATATGCTGTATTCACCTTTTTCATAGCCTTCATGTAATACTCTAAGTTGATTTAAAATGTTATGGAAACAGAATTGAGCAAAAGAGTAGATATTCTAGGTCAGAATTATATCAGGAGGAATCAAATTATATCCCTAATGTAATTTCCATAAATCCCCACACACATACATTAGTGGTCGTGGTATCTTTTTTTTCTCTGGATAAGACCCATAAATGCTGTTAGTGACACAGTTCAGCAGTGTAAAGGGCCTTAAAGTAAGTGCAGATGTTATTTATGTTATTTACAGTCCATTCAGAGTGCATGAGAAGCAGATCCACCATATGGAAAAATGCTTTCATGTTTAACGTCATATCATCTGGCCTTAGTAAGGCCAGAGTCCATGTCGTATTAAACATAACCACATAACAGGCCTTGGCTATATTCAGGGCAGAATTGTATTTAGCATTATATTAATTAACCTGGGCTCTGGTAAAGTTTTACAGTGTAAAGAGATTCTTTAAGACATCCTTACTTCACTACCAAACACACAGGGGAAGCTGGTCTTTCAACCTGCATTTTTCCTGCCCACTCTGGGAATACTCTGTCTCATTACCCCATTTTCCCCCAAATGCAAGGGACTGTGACTCTTTTTGCAGCCTCCTTTCAACATTGTTACTCAGGCAAGGACCAGGGACTGTCAAGCTCCAGAGAAGACTGCGAGAAAAGAAGAAGAAAGTGGAGGTAACTAACTGATATGACTAGTTGGAGCTGAGAGGTCCTTGGATTTATCCTTCTAGACCTATATCAAGAATGGGAATTTTGTCTCTTCTTCTTTATAGAGGATAGTTATTATATTTCTGAATAGATGGGTTTAAAGAGGCAGGTCCTACAACTGGTGGCTGAGAGAGAGAGACCATACAGTATTTCCTAAAGACCCCAAGGAAGGAAGTGTTAGACTTCTGGAGAAGGCAGAGTGTCTTGGGAGACTAGATTACTGATGATTCAGGAACCATCTTAAAAAAAAGAGAGAGAATATGTAAGGAATATTCAGGAATATGTAAGGAATTTGGAATTAAAGGGTGTTTATATATGTGGTCTGGGAGTGGAGTGGGGGAGATGCTTTAATCAGAGCAGCTCCGAGAGCTGTTCTAATTAAAGTGCGTGGCATGTCATATGTATCAGTGTCCCCGCACTGAAAAATGGTGGCGGGGTGCTTTAACTAAAGCTCATCAAACATCAACAAGCTTCAGTCAAAGTGTCCCCACTGTCATTTTTCAGCATGGAGATGCTGATACACATGATGCTGGAGTCTGCTGGAGCACGGTAATTACCACGCTCCAACAGACTCAATTAATCAAGCCTGCTCTGACGCACTTTAATTGCAGTGCTTCGGAGCATCGTTGCTGCATGTGTATAGGTGCCCAAAGGGGCTATAAGATCTAAATCTTAAAGTAAAGAAGCAGGTCTATTCTCAGCTCCATAGAACAGATTTAGCATGGTTCAGTTCACATGGCATCATAAAGCAAAGCCTGGAAGTGTTGCTCCTTTATATAAAAGTCTGTATAATTTTGAGTCAAGCCATGTGAGCTCACTGAATCTTTCTCTTAAATTAGGTACTAGAGATCTCTTCAAATTCAAAGAATAAGTGAATACACATTGCTTGAAAGCTGAAACAGCAAGTCGGGACACACAATGCTATCTGTGTGACTCTTCTGAGATTCTATGGCACAAATCAGGAGTATTCTTCCATCGTTCTCAGATTGTTGCTCATCATGTACTGTGATAACAGAACGGTTTCATCAATAACACTGCAGGTATCAACCCCTGGTATTGACAATTCAGTGAAGAATAACAAGGCAATATTATCTGTCCATAGCAGAGTCCCAAGCAAAACAAAGAAGGTGTAATTGTAGTGTATGCAGCTTACTGTTTGATATAGTCTTCTTTTTTATCATAGGCATGAATTACACTGAGTCCTTGCACAGAAGAAGAAATATGAGAGTACAGCGGTGATCTGCTAATATTTTCTATTCTCTTTAGCTCTCGAATAGCTCTCTTGAATATTCTGCAACAAAATAGAAGTAATATTATACATAGCAATGCAGACTATGGATGTATATCACTGCTTCATTGCTAAACCCAGTACTTTTAACTAAAATTTCAAATGTCCTGTAGTGAGGGAATATGGAGCAGTCCCACCCAGTAGGCTGTTCTGTCAGAAACTATGCCTTGAAGCAGGGCTGTCCAACTGGCAGCCTGTGGGCTTCTGCCCACCTACCACTCCCTGCATTCTTCCTGCTTCTGGAGCAGTGGATGGGGCCTCTGGAGCAGGACAGCATGGTGAGAGGTAGCCTAGGCACTAGGGGGAGGCTTGGGCTGCCTGCTTAGCACCACTGGCAGGGGGATCTCAGATGAGGCCTTGCCATTGCCTACATGGCATTAGGGGAGTGGGCTCATGCTGCTTGCAAGGCAGCAGGGAAGGCGGGTGGCGGGGGGGACTCCTGCCCAATAGCAGGAGGGAGAAAGCTGCTTTGACGTTGGACAGCCCTGCCTTTTAGTCTTACCTGGAGTGCCCAAGAATGCAGAATACTGCACCATGCCCCAGCACCTTTGCTGGTCACTGCAAAGGAAGCTTTGGCCACAATCTCATCTCTCTTTTCTGTCTCTCCATACCTTCTTTAGAGCAGCGGTGCCCAACCTGGACTGGATAGGTGGTGTCAGGCCAGTGTGCTAGCCTGGTTATGCCTATGGATTGACCCCATGTGCCAGATCTGGCTGTGGACCAATCCCGCATGCTGGTCTGATCTGATGCACAAGGCCATGTGATTTGGTCTGCTGGACTCCCCATAGGTACAGAAAATTGAAAATCTGGGTGGTGGGAAGTGGTGATAATGGTAGCCTGCAGGCTGTTGGTTAAACAACACTGCTTTAGAGCATCTTTTGTTCCCAGAAGGTTAAGGCAGCCCTCTTAGTTTAAGAGTAACTTAGTTTGCCAAGTAAAGGAACAGCAATTATGTCTAGGCCTAACAGAGGGATGCAAGGGTAGGAAAGCTCTTTGGTGCAAATTAAAAAAAAAAATGAGTAGCGGTTTTAGGTTCCCAATTTGAGCTCTCTTTAGAAGTGGCTGTTCAGGGGAGGTGCCCAGCACTTTTTGAAAATCAAGTCTGTTCCAGGGGTCTCAAACTGGGCACATAAAACTACAGCCAATTTAGAAAATATTTCTGTTTGTCCCCCAGAAAGGGAGCAGGCAGAATCCAGCCTTTCAGTTTCATTTCCTGCTTTTTCGTTATTGAAGCATTATGAGTACAGAAGTATGACGGCAGATTTTGCAAATTGAGAATTATCATCACCTATCCTGCCAGATGAAGAGGAGATGAGAGGCCTATAAAAAAAAAATACCAGGAAAATGTGTTGCATAATCATGTGCTGTAATGTGAAGAGAAGAACCTAGCCATTAGCAGCCCACCAACCATCCAGCCCTGTTATAATTCTCTGGCATAGTTTAAGTTGCTGGCAGAGACACAGTTTCTGCACTGACAGAAGCTTCCAAGTACATTCAGTACATGTGCACTACACCAGTGCATTCAAAGATACCTTGGTTAAACTCATCCCTGCCTATTTTTGTGTAGATGGAAAGTTGTAAATGATTACTCTCTAAGGAGCCTCATTCTGAATAGACCAATGGTTCTGGGGTATATTGGCAGAAGGCAATATAAAGAGTGACTATATTAGCCCTTTAATAGAAGCTAAGATGACTGACAGCTTCCCAGTTTTTTCTGAGTGTGATTAGCTGTCTTAGATTTTCTTCTTGGTTCCTGTAGTTTCCCAACCTCCTGTTACAGTTTATGAAAGAATTTGGAGCGTTCTGCAACTGCATTACCATACGAACATATGTACTACAGTTTCTGCAGGCCAAAAATTGCTTAAAATATTTCTTAAAGAACCAGAACATCAACTTACTGAAAAAGTAGTACAAAAAAAGCAGCTATGATGATGACTGCAATTAGAAGAAAAGGGAACACAAGGCCTATTACGGCTACAATAAAGAACACCATAAAAAACTGCTGCAAAAATGTCTCAGCGTGAAATGGAAGTCTCATATCCAGTTCATCCATATCCTTAGAAAAACGGTTCATTAGCCTACCAGTGGGAGTTGTATCAAAGAAACTCATTGGACTATGTAAGATCTGTGGATAAAGAGAAACAGCAAAATCAGATGCAGTCTTTTTCTTTTACTGTATTTAGAGTCTACATAGGAAAGTAGATATTAGCTTAATCTTGGCTAAGGTTTAAATAATAGAAGCAGCAAACATAAGTTTACTGTAGCACTTAAAGCAACAGTGGTATTTGTGAAGCAGCTTTTGACAGTAGAATTAAATGTGTCTTAGGGGCTTATTCTCACAATTAAAATAAAGTGCAAATGAGAATCATAGAGGTCTAAAATACACTTTTAAAAGGGAACAATTATAAAAAGGGATGTATACCCTTCATCAAAGTGCATAAACAGGTTCCTAGCTCACAACATATGGATGGTTCCATTGAATTAAGTAGGGTTACATATATGCTTAGATATAGGAACCTGCTGAAATAGCTTGTCAAATTAAGGCCTAATAAAATATAGGAACAAATGATAAGTCATACCGGAATTGGGAATCAATGGGCTTTCCAAAAGATCCTAAGTAGGTTAGGTGACTAACCATGTTTGACTTAAGTGCTTAATTCCTTTGAACCTATTTGACCCTTATAATCTGGTCCCAAGTGCCTACATTGCACTTGGGAATGAGACTTAGCCTCCTACATCACTTGGGCACTTTTGAATATTTTACCCATAGCGTTTTTTGTCCAAATATTTTCCCTCTAGTAATTGCTGGAAATAGAAAATCTCTCTGGTACATCTTATCCTATTGTGCCATGTTGTATCATGGCAAGGGTGGGAGGCTCTATCCCTCACCAGCACTGATTTGTGTCCCAGATTACCAAAAAAAAATTGCATTTACATGGGGCCTTTCTCTTGGATCTGGAACCAACTTACAAGAGAAGTGGTGCTGGCTCCTACCCTGGGGTCTTTAAGAGGAGGCTCAATGTACACCTTGCTAAGGTCGTTTGACCCCAGTACTCTTTCCTGCCGTGGCAGGGGGTCGGACTTGATGATCTGCTCAGGTCCCTTCCGACCCTAGAAACTATGAAAATTGATAAGCTTCTAAACACTTTGGAAACATGAATTGATTAAAGCTTATAGCAACCTTTTGAGGTAGGTACAGTAAAAGCTGCCTTAGCTGGCCCCTTACAAGCTAGCATGCTCTATTAACTGGCATGCCGGCTTGTAAGGTAAAAGCGAAACTGGAAGTGCCCACCATGTTACTTCTGGTTTTGCCAAGCCCCCATGGCCCAGGGCAAAGCAGCCTGTGCTGCCAAGCCCCCATGACCTGGGGCATAGCAGGCTGCAAGAGGCCCACTTCCCCGACCCTTGGGGCCCGCAGGAGGATCAGTGATGCAGTGGGAGGGGCAGCGATGCCCCGGATGTGGCAGGAGAAGCGGCGGCCTGAACAGACCTGTTTGGACCTCTCAATTAACCAGCATATTTTGTTATCCAGCGCCCCCCATTCCTCATGGGTGCCGGATAACAAAGCTTTTGCTGTACATAGTATTATAACATGATAAACAAAACACCTGAGATACAAAATGTTCATGCATATTGCTCAAGGTGAGATGATAAGTGAACAACTGAGCTGTGAATACAACAAATGGCTGCTGACCCTCCACAGCAGCCCTAACTACAAAATCACACTGCTCACCTTCCTAACTTATTAAATTAAATATCATTTAATAATTATAAAGAACAAAGCATATACCATACCTTATAGAATACATTATCATGCAGTGTTGAAGAAGCCTTTAATGTTGTCTTTGTAAAAACAAGCCCTCTGATGATACTTAGGACAATCATGGCCACCAGGCTGATTCCATAGACGAATTGGTAAAAGTGTAGTTGGGGGTTATCCAAGATGTTTTCCATGTCACAGGTGTATTTTGTGTCATTACCCAAGATGGTGCAAATTTTCTTTGAAACAAACAGATACAGGACAGGAATTGAAGTATGAAAGCTGTTTCTGATAACATGATAGGGATAAAGGCAGACTGGATAGCTGAAGTATACGGATACCTTATCGACAGCACTTTCCCCATTAGAAACTGCCATGTGCCCAAGTAAGAGATGGAGGATGCATCTACACATTCATTAATGTGCTTTTGCTACTGTGGATTAAATTTAGTACCCCTGGTTGGCTGTACATGGGCATGGAGGCTGCTCCAATGTGCTGTAATTACAGTGTGTTGGAGCAGACTTGATTAATTAAGTCTGCTGGAGCATAGTAATTACCATGCTCCAGCAGACTTCTGTATCTCGTGTATCAGAGTCCCCACGTTTCAAAGTGGAGGGGACATTCAATGAGCTTTATTTCAACTGCCCCTGCTGCCATTTTGAAGTGTGGGGACGCTGATACATGAGACAATGCAGTGCTTTAATTAAGGTGGCTCTCAGAGCCATTCTAATGAAAGCACTGCCCCCTGACCCCTGGAGCACATGTAAAAGTGCCCTCTAATGTGAGGTACTAAATAAATATGCATTAGACTGCCTTAATGCACAGTAGCAAAAGTGTACACTTTTTTAGTTACTCTTAATGCACAGTAGCCTATTTTTCCTGTGCATTAGCATATTTGCACAGTTTTCAATGTAACACTTTAATGCGCCATAAAATAGGCTACTGAGCATTAAAGCATACATGTAGACATGCCTAGAGTGTCATAGAATTGTTATGATATTGCTGTACTGCCTCTTTATACAAGAAGTCCTCAGAAAGTAGGATCCACTGGCCCTATGTAACTGTAATGGCCCTGAATGTGACCCAATGTTGTTACTTTTTATGAAGTAAAACATTTTTCAATTCGAAATCCTACAGATTTTGCAATAGCCATTTGCATGATGTAACATGAATTCCTTTACTTGTTTCCTCTTTATTTGAGGTTTTACAAATTCCATTCTTGCCATTAACATTTTCCTTTTGGCCTACATCCCAGCCCTTATTTCTTTTAGCACCTTGACCCTCCTTCATATTTGTATGGAAATTACATTTTATGCTTTAGGAATTTTCTCTGCTGCTCTGTTTAGCATGTATGGGCACATCCACACATGCAGACACGTGCACTTGCAGCAGCTCAAATAAGAGTGGCACAAAGTTGTGCCGGGCATTTTTGCCTCAGCACATGCCTGGACATGCACTTTGGGGCCAAGTGCCACTTGGGGGCAAACTGACCCTGTCCAGCTCCTCCCATCTCTGCAGCCAGGGGGAGCTTAAGTCTGGGGTCAGCATCTGTGCTGGCCCCAGCAGTATAAAAACCTGCCCTGTACTGGCCCCAGCAGTACAAAAAGCTGCCCTGGCAAGCAGCTCAAGGCAATTTCTATCAGGAGCTTCTAGGACAGTGGCAGTCCCTGCCCCACCATGTCCTCCAGTCCACCGGAGTTTGTCGTAGGGCTGGCACCTCGCCCAGTCTTGCGGCACTCCCCACTTCACCACCTGAGCTGACTGGAGGACACAAGACTGGTCCGCTTTTCCACTGTCCATCACCTCCACCTCTACACACTCACGTGCCACATGATCCATCATGCTGCCCTACGTTCTGCCCAGACACCAAGTGGTGAGATCTGCTGAGCAAGGGCATAGCTGGGGCACCCCAGTGGCTGACTCGGTACTCCACCCTCATCCCACGAGCCACTGGGGACCTCAGCTGGCAGCTCCTCCATGGAGCCATCACTCCGGACATGTTTCTGGTGCGCTTCATAGACACCCCAGTCTCCTGCCCCTTCTGTGGGCAGAGGGAAACCCTGGTGCACATGACCCTCCTCCTGAGGTTCTAGTTGAATTTCACCCCCACCTTTTTTTTTTTGGGCACCCCATCCATGGCCGCACCAAGTCCTGGGACCTCCTGGTCAACCTCCTCTTGGCCCTGGCCAAGTGGGCCCTGTACTTGACCAGGAAGGAGGCTCTGGCTAAGAAGGTGCCCGGAGATTGTGGGGCCACTTTCCCCTCATTTGTCTATGTACATTTCTGGATGCAGCACCAGTGGGAGGTGTACACCAGCTCTTTGGATGCCTTTGAGGACCAGTGAGGGGGACTCTGCTCGGTGTCCCCCGCTGGAGAACTTCTTTTCACATTTTGAACCTTTGACCCCTACGTCACTCCTACCCTTTTCTTCCTTCATTGTCCCACCAAAAAAACCCAACTAGCTTTGTCTTTCAACCTTTGGCTCCACACAGTTGGAGCTATTAGTTAACTAGGTCGGCCTCAAGGCCCATGATCTCTGAAAGATACAAGTAGACAGGAGCTTCTGGAACCTGGCCAAATAGTATCTGGGAACACTGGCACTGGGGGCTGCTGCCTGATTATGACCTTCTGCCACCTGCTACAGCATGCAGCCCCGAACTGCCAGACCCAGACAGGGACTGCACGGCTGCCTGAGCTGTGCCATGGGCACTGTAGCAGAGGCATCTGCACCTCTGAGCCAGCTGCCAGTGTGCCATGGCTGCACAGTTGACCTTTGTGTGGCACTGCTGACATGTGTGCCCCCGCCCTGCCATCTGGGCAGCTATTGCCTGAAAGATGTTCTCTTTGTGGTGACCTGCTTTGAACTGTCAAAGCATGTCCTCCAGCCCCAAATGGCCAGGAGGTCAGCCACCTTATTTACCCTCCAGCTCAGTCCCAAGGTGCCAGCTCTAAGCAGGCTTCTCTGCCTGGGTCCTGCCACTTGCCTCACTAGCAGAAATCCTGGTGTTCTTTCCCTATTTAATAGCTGCACATTCTCTGGACAAAAAAATCCCAAATTCACTCTTTAAAATACCCCCAAATCCACATTCTTTCACAATTAAAAGACCACTATATATAGACAGAGACAGAGACAGAGACAGAGAGAGTGATCAGTTGGGCAATGTTTTATTGATATATTTAT